TTTCTAAGGGAATATCTGCAAGAGAAAAGGCTTCAACAACTTCTATATTTAATTTTTCTTTTTCATTTAATGTATTTTCAAATGATGTCAAAGTTCTTTGAATTACAAAGGAGAATCATTTCTATGATTTTTGTTATTTAGATGTTTATTGTAATTAAATGTTTATCTACAGAGTCTTTTCTTTTATGGTCAACTTCTATATTGCAAAATCGACATCATAATAAACTGCCTTGTAAAATATAATTCTCTCGATATTCTACCATTTTTTTTTTGTTAGAAGTTGATCTAACGAAAAAATAGAGATTATCCAATCAAATTTGAATGACGTGAAAATCGCTGAAAATCGTGATCACGCTAAAATCGCAAAAAAAAGGTCAAAATCGTTGAAAAATCACGATCAACAAATCCTGGACGTAGTTTTTTTTTAAAAAATTTTATAATTATTTTTTTATATTACATCATTTTATAGCAATCAATTACACAAGAAAAATTGACATGGTGCATCACACGTGCTCGCCAAAGTTTCGTAAAATTTCAAAAGTGGAGGCTTAACACCCAATAAAATAATATATGTACATATTATTTTGATATTTATAAAAAAGAATCATATATATTGTAAATCATCTGACAATTCGTGTAACATGAATTTTTTAATACGAACAATTACTTTAGAATGAAAGTTGCGAGGGTAAAAAACCCTCAGGTTTCGGCCATTTGCAAGAATTTTTATAATAATTTAAAAATATATATTTAAGTAATTAAGGAATTCAATTTCATTGTCCAGTTCTTTCTGATCTTTTCTCGCGGTCGAAAGTATTTCTCTTTGTTGAATATTCGGAAATGATTGAAGAAAGAGAAATTTGCTTGAATATTATAAGATAAAGAATTAAGCAAAATGAAATAATTATATTCTTCTTTGAAGGATTAAAAATACAATAAATTAGTATTTATCTGCGGGATTTTTTTTTTTTTTTGCTTAAATCATCAATACGTCTTTCTTTAAAGTTTAAGCATATTTTATAATAGATAACATAAACAGATTCTATGCAAAGGTAAACTAGGAAGAATACACAAAACACTTTGTAAATCTATCCGAAATGTAATCAATATTTACGGTAAAGGAATTTTTTGGTTTTATTTATTATGAATCACACATTAATTTCACGAAATAAAACATTAAAAAGAGAACGAGCCGTTGCAACATAATTTGCTGCAATTGTATTACATATTAAAAATTAGCAGTTATAGAAATAAATGATGTTTCAAGATTTATCAAAAATCAAAAAAATCAAAAAAGTCAAAATAAAATATCGTAAAAATTACAAAAACATTGTATTTGGTTCTAACAGAGTCCCCAATTATAATATAGCGTATGCACAGCCTAGAACATCAGTTAATGAATTTCCAACACCAATTGCCATAATGTACGTAGCTGGTAAACTTTCTGGTGCTTTAACGGTCACTGTTTGATTATATTTGGTACCAGCTTTTGGACATCCAGTTTTAGTGCAAGCAGAAACAACAGTGGGAGGTGCTATGGGTTGTTGACTTAAATCAGTAAATACAACCGCAAGGTTTGTTTTGGGGGTGACATCTTCCGAAAAAGTTCCGGAAACAACAACTATATCACTTTGTCCAGCGACGGGAGGATCGGGTGAAATTGATACTTGGAGAAAGGATACTGGATGCGTTGAACCTTTAGGTGTGGGACACGGAACAAAAGGGGCTCTTTTAAGAAGTTGATGTGGAATTGCATTAACCATGGAAAGCATGGCCAATAAGAGGAAAGCAAAAATCAATTTTTGATTCATGATTATAATTTTTTTGCAAAGTTGTATTTTTGAGTTTTTCTTTTTTTATGAATGTTAATTATTCAATAAACTTGATTTCTTTATTTTAACGTAAATTGAAATCTGTGCCTTTTTATAAGGAAAAAAAACTGTCAAATTCCTTTAAAAATTTAAAAACAGTAATTTCAAATCAGTTGTCCTTTCAGTACTATTCATGATGATCGGCGCTTATAGTAAATTAGGTAGTTCACTTATTATAAAAAAACAAAAATACCAAGAAATTCATTTGAAAAAACTTCAAACTGAAAAAGGTTTAGTACGAATTTTTGATGAAGTTTCATAAGGAAAGGAATACTGTCCATACTTAATTTAAAAGAATGAAATTTTATTAGTAACGATCATTCGAAAATCTAGGTGTAACTCAACAAATAAATTCTAAAATCTTGTTTTAGTAATATGCAAAGCATATCAAAGAAATGCAATGTATATTATTTATTATATCACAATAAGATTAAATTGGTAAATAGTCAACCTGAATGTGACTAAAAAAAAAATAAAAAGAAAGAAAGGCATCAAAAATGATTTAACTCACATAATAATCTTAAAAACGATCCATTTCGAGCGCAAGGTTTTTTTTAGAAGAAATCAAAACGTACGATCGCTTGTGCTATAAAGTGACGCTCATTTTATAAAAAGGTTGTCTTACCAAATTTAGGCTGGGAATATTGCAATCACAGTTTTTTTAAGTTTATAAATTTTTTCTTTTTAATTTAAACTTGTTAAGAAACGGATTCAATTCTGCTTTTTAAAAAGTTAGTTAGTTTTAATTTCTTTTTTTTAACGAATTACCAAATGCCAAATTATTATTCTATCGCAAACCGTATATTCAGTTAAAATAAATTCAAAAAGGAGAATGAAATATTTAGGTTCAGCTTAGACTTAAAGAAATAAAATTAAAACTAACTAACTTTTAAAATTATTCTTTTTTTTTTATCGAATTACCGGATGCCAAATTATTATTCTATCGCAAAAAGTATATTCAGTTAAATAAATTCAAAAGGAGAATGAAATATTTATGTTCAGTTTAGACTTTAATTTTTAAAAGTTAGTTAGTTTTAATTTTATTTCTTTTATTTTTTTTTTTTATCGAATTATCAGATGCCAAATTACTATTCAATCGCAAACTGTATATTCAGTTAAACAAAAAGGAGAATGAAATATTTAGGTTCAGTTTAGACTTTAATCATATTAATTATTATCATCATAATTATAATAAATTTAATATCATATATACCATACTAAGCCATTTTAAATACAATTAAAAAGCAATTTAAAATCTAAAAGTTTATCCATATTCCAATTTTTGAAAAAATTGTAAAGAAATATTTAATAAATAGTTTATTCCAATATGTTCATGTATTCTTTCGAACAATAGTTAAGCGTAATATATTCATTTCATATGGTACTTTGGAAAGTTGACTATAATTAGTAATTATTAATAATGGGAATATTGGTCGAAAGTTGAATCTTGGATTGAGAGAAAACTTGTTGAAAGTTTGTATTTTCATCACTAAGAACTCACGTATCAGATAATGCTCCACCCTCCACTACTTGAACGATTTGAACGCTAATTTTGATTAGTCAAAGTTTTATCCCCCTCAGTTAGCTTCTTGTAGAATTTGATATTTTCTCCCATGGTTTGTCGCGATTTTAGAAACTGGCACATATGTGGAAGTTTGATATTCTTATTGTCCGAAGCGTAAGCGTAGGACATTTCCGGTTAGAGCTGAAACTATGCATGTGGATTCTGTCACGACGCGTGATCTGCCAATCACATTTCTGTCAATCATTATTCTAATAAAGTTAGGAATTAATTTTTAATTTAGTAATACAGATATTTTTTAATTAATCGTATTTTTAACTTTATAAATAAACAGTATTAAGGTTATCTTTATGTTGATTAACGCTTCGGACGCTCCTAACGGTTCCCGTTACCTAGTATAATCTTTTTTTAGTAAATGTCATCCTATTAACGAACGAGAAAAACGTTTGGAAATGTTTGTGTTACATAGTGCTCCGTAAGAGTCGGTTTGAAGCATATTCGAACTCGAATCCGTTAATATTTACAGGACCCGAATTAGACTCGACTCAGTTATTGTTCGACCCGACCCGATTATTATTTAACTCGGATTCTACTCGAATTTTAAGGGTAATATTAATACCGAAAGTAAAAATAATTTATATGATTATAATGAAAAAAGTGTATTATTTTAAAGTATTAAAAAAAAATTAATAATTACCTGTAATATACCTTATTAAAAATGGATACGAGCAGTTAAGACATCTAACTTCTCAATCGGTTTTTGAATTTTTCTATTCGGCTGGAAGAAGTTTCTCTTCAAAAAGTTCTTTGACAAAAAGTTCGCTTCGATTTTCGTTTTTCAAAAGAAGCTGTATTATCGGAATTAATAAGGTCGGTAGTTTCACTCATTAAATAAATTGTAAAGTCGCACTGTAATATCATTTAATAATATCACCTGTCACCCGGGTCAAGCAAAATCGTGACCCTAACCCGACGGGTTTTAAGAAATTAGGACTCGACTCGTGATAAAAAATGATCGAATTTTTTTTCGAGTCGGGTCAAATGACCCGGGTTGGAACACTAGTTGGATAGAGAAGTATTTCATTTTTTTGTTATTTTGTTAATTTTGGTGGAAAAAATTGGTTGACATCAATGAGTATGTTATTAAAAGTATTATCTATTATTGGATGCTATTTATTATATTCCGTAGATATCTGAGCTTGCATCAAAAATAAATTTACGAATTTATACGAATAGCTTTTTTTTAAATAAAAAAGACGAATTTTTTATTATATTTTATCGTTAAAGGAAGCGTTGATTTTTTTAATGAAATTATTTATTTTTTTTTTTTAAAAAACTACTCACATTCTGTCTATCGCTGCTTCGAAAAGAAAATTATTCAGGCGAAAAACCCACCCAAAATTAAAAAATAATATTATTATAGACCCAAAATAGAGGGAACTAAAAAAAAAAAATTAAAATGCCGCAAATTCAAATTCAAAAAAAATAAAATAAAGATATGAAAGAAATATTAACTTTTAACAGGTTTTAGATACTTTCGAAAACAAAATTTGGAAAAAAAATTTCCATAAATAACACTTCGAAAATAAGCACCCCAAAATAAGATCCTCTTGCCCACATTATGTCGATTTGGTCTATTGCTCAAGCAGTTTGAAAAATTCTAAGTTGAGACCGTCCGATCAGTTATGGGTAATATGGATCTGTTCTAATTTAAATTTGGGACAAAACACGATATGAGAATCCAAGCAACGAAGGAAATTTATTCTTTAGTCAGATATTATTTTTAAAGTTTCACCTTTATAGGTAAAATGATTAATTATTCAATTTCGGAAATTCCAGACGAGTTCAGATGCACATACATTTATTATTGACTATTTTCAACCACATAAAATTAACGATTAATTCTCGTTATTGGATAGTTAAGAAAGTGAAAACAATTAAACTGTATGTGTTTCAAATGTTATTTATTGACACATTGTGTAACGTACTTGAGTTTTCGCACAAAGGCGCAGTAATTTCAAAAAAAAATTCATTTGAGATATGATGTCATGCATGCACAATTATTAACAAACTATACCCTCTTTTATTTGTTTTTGAAAATTAACTTTCTTTTCACACTCGCAATATAATGCCGATACTATCATGAATAATCATAAGTCTCATTGATTACCGATTATGCTTTTTTAAATAATCATAATTTTATACATCAATTAAACTTAGAGGTTGGTACCGTTTAATTTTATCCGGTTAACTAACCGGTTAAGACGTTATCTTGTTAACCGGTGAAAAATTAATTTTAACTCCGGCCGAAATTTAATTTTCGGGCGGAATTAAGATTTTTTGTGATTACAAAATTTGGCTAGTTCTGCCCAAATTTTTAGTGCCGGCCTGATTTAAATTTAACCGGTTTAATAACCGGTTAAGGATTTTTAGACCTCAGTGGTCAAAGAGATTTAGAAAACAACGATAGATTCATATTAATTTACTGTTTTCAAATTATTGTCTCGTGTTTTGAATTCAAAAATATTTTCATATTATTTTATTTAAAACGCAATGCAATCAATATAATCTAATTAAATTGGAAACATGAAATTCGAAAATTTTTGTCGTTTTATATAAACTTACTCCTAAATTACTCGTACAGATTTCTTCTTTACACCCAAATAAACTGAACCCGCCCCAAAATCAATAACGCATTCTGCTCCCTCAACGAGGCTTTATTAGAATAGTTATTAAAATAAAATTTCAACCGAATTTGATTATTTCTAAAAAGAACCTTGATTAACTTACTTTTTTTCTCCATAAATTTAAATTTACGTATGATTTACAGGCTTCTCCTAATAAGGATCTCGCTTATGTAAGTATACTTACTGTTATGTGGCTGAAGTGCATGCATAATCAATAATAGGAAAATCATTTAATTATATCTTGAAATAAATTTTTTTTACTGCACAGTATTTATTTCTCTTAAAATTATAACCATGGAAAACGAAAATTGTAAGTTCGACGTTTAGTATACTATTATATTAAATACATGTGAAATAAAACTCAACTAAAATTTTTCATTACAGGGCGTAAGTTATTTTTTATTGTACTGCGGGCGATAGTGAAAATTAATTATTTTATTATTATTGCATTGAATTGATTTTTTATTTAATCCTTATTAAAATCGATATTACAGATGGTAAGTTATTTATTAATTAATTATATATCTGACTTATAAGTTGTTATAATAATATGCAATTCAACAGATGGTTAGTTATATTAGAACATTAACTACAAGTTTTACATAATTTAAGCTAATTAAAATTTTATTTAATATGACAGAAAATAATGTCGCACAATATGATTTATCTAAACGTTACCAAAATGGATGGGAAATTGAGAAGAATTTAGAAAAGGCATTCGACTTTTATCAAAAGTCAGCTGATCAAAACAATAGCAGTGCGCAATATGTTTTAGCTGAATGTTATTATTATGGACAGGGAATTGAAAAGAATTTAAAAAAAGCATTTTATTGGTATCAAAAATCAGCTGATCAAAATAATAGCCATGCGCAATATGATTTAGCTATATGTTATTATCATGGACGGGGAATTGAAAAGAATTTTGAAAAGGCATTCGACTTTTATCAAAAGTCAGCTGATCAAAATAATAACCTTGCGCAATATGATTTAGCTGAATGTTATTATTATGGACGGGGAATTGAAAAGAATTTAGAAAAAGCATTTTATTGGTATCAAAAATCAGCTGATCAAAATAATAGAGATGCACAAAATAATTTAGGATATTTTTATGATAATGGTATGGGAATTGAAAATAATTTAGAGAAAGCATTTTATTGGTATCAAAAAGCAGCTGATCAAAATAATAGAGATGCGCAATATAATTTAGCCAAATGTTATCATCATGGATGGGAATTGAAAAAAATTTAGAGAAAGCATTTTATTGGTATCAAAAATCAGCTGATCAAAATAATAATAATGCCCAAAATAATTTAGGATATTTTTATCAAAATGGTATGGGAATTGAAAAGAATTTAGAGAAAGCATTTTATTGGTATCAAAAATCAGCTAATCAAAATAATAACAATGCGCAATATAATTTAGCCGAATGTTATCATTATGGATGGGAAATTGAAAAAAATTTAGAGAAAGCATTTTATTGGTATCAAAAATCAGCTGATCAAAATTATAGTAATGCACAATATAATTTGGCTATATGTTATCAAGAGGGATGGGGAATTGAAAAGGATTTTAAAATGGCATTTTATTGGTATCAAAAGTCAGCTAATCAAAATAATAGAGAGGCACAATTTAATTTAGGATATTTTTATGATAATGGTATGGGAATTGAAAATAATTTAGAGAAAGCATTTTATTGGTATCAAAAAGCAGCTGATCAAAATAATAGAGATGCGCAATATAATTTAGCCAAATGTTATCATCATGGATGGGAATTGAAAAAAATTTAGAGAAAGCATTTTATTGGTATCAAAAATCAGCTGATCAAAATAATAATAATGCCCAAAATAATTTAGGATATTTTTATCAAAATGGTATGGGAATTGAAAAGAATTTAGAGAAAGCATTTTATTGGTATCAAAAATCAGCTAATCAAAATAATAACAATGCGCAATATAATTTAGCCGAATGTTATCATTATGGATGGGAAATTGAAAAAAATTTAGAGAAAGCATTTTATTGGTATCAAAAATCAGCTGATCAAAATTATAGTAATGCACAATATAATTTGGCTATATGTTATCAAGAGGGATGGGAAATTGAAAAGGATTTAAAAATGGCATTTTATTGGTATCAAAAGTCAGCTGATCAAAATAATAGTAATGCGCAAAATAATTTAGCAATTTGTTATCAAAATGGTAAGGGTATTGAATTAGATTTTGAAAAAGCATTTTATTGGTATCAAAAATCAGCTGATCAAAACAATAGTCATGCACAAAATAATTTAGCAACTTGTTATGAAAATGGATTTGGAATTGAAAAAGATTTAAAAATAGCATTTTATTGGTATCAAAAATCAGCTGAGCAAAATTTCAGTAATGCACAATATAAGTTAGGATATTTTTATGAAAATGGATGGAAAATTGAAAAGGATTTAAAAATGGCATTTTATTGGTATCAAAAGTCAGCTATTCAAAATTATAATAATTCACAATTTAAATTAGGATCTTTTTATGTTAATGGCTGGGGAATTGAAATGGATTTGAAAATGTTATTTTATTGGTATCAAAAATCAGCTGATCAAAATAATATTGATGCCCAATATATGTTAGGATTTTTTTATGAAAATGGTATAGGTATTGAAATAGATTTAGAAAAATCATTTTATTGGTATCAAAAATCAGCTGATCAAAATGATAGTGATGCACAATATAATTTAGGTAATTATTATTATTATGGAAAAGGTATTAAAAAAGATTTTAATAAAGCATTTGAATGGTATAAAAAATCAGCTAAACAAAATTATAATAATGCACAAAATGATTTAGGATATTTTTATGAAAAAGGTATAATAATTGAAAAAAACTTAAAAAAAGCATTTTATTGGTATCAAAAATCAGCAAAAAATGAAAATCATATTGCACAATGCAATTTAGCAATTTGTTATCGATATGGTTTAGGTATTGATAAAAATATGATTGAAGCATTTAAATAGTATAAAAAATCAGCAGAAAATGGAAATGAATTTGCACAATATAATTTAGGATTTTATTATGAGGAAGGAAAATTTATTAAAAAAAACTTAAAAAAAGCATTTTATTGGTATCAAAAATCAGCAAAAAATGAGAATGATGTTGCTCAATACAAATTAGGATATTTTTATGAAAAAAGTATTGAAATTAAAGAAGATCTTAAAAAAGCATTTTATTGGTATCAAAAATCAGCTGTAAATAAAAATAAAGAAGCCCAATATAATATAATCAAATGTTATATAAATGGAATAGGAGTTAATAAAGATTTAGAAAAAGCATATGAATGGCATCAAAGGTTAATAAAAAATGAAAATAAATCTAAAAAAAGTTTTGGAAAATATGAAGCTAATTATCAAAATATTAATGAAAAAATTGCTGCAATCAAATTCATTAATAAATCCTTAAAATATCAAGTTAAATTTATACCTTTTAATGAATTCTCTAATTTAGAACAGCTTGATAAAGGAGGATTTGGTAGTATTACAAAAGCAACCTGGTTGAAAACAAGTAATTTTATTGTATTTAAAAAATTAATAAATGCAAATAATATTAATCAAAATGCTTTTATTTATGAATTAAAAATTCATTTATATCTTAATTATTGTAATCATATAATACATTGCTTAGGTATTAGTCTAGGTAAATTTTAATTACTAAATAATTTATATTAATTTACTTTTTAAAAAAATAATTATTTATTAATTTATAATTTATAGATTCAATATCAAATGAATATCTTCTTATAATGCAATATGCTAATGGTGGTGATTTACAAAATTATCTTAAAAATAATTTTAAAAATTTAAATTGGAATGATAAAAACAAGTTAGCATTTCAAATTGCAAATGGATTAAATTACTTGCATAATGAAGATGTCTTACATAGAGATCTTGTAAGTATTATTTTTATTTATTTGTATATTTTATAATATGGATTTTAGAAATTTATTTTAAAATTTTATAATTTTATTTAGCATTCTAAAAATATACTTATTCATAATAATGATGCTAAAATTACAGATTTTGGTATTTCAAAAATTGGAAATAGTTCTACTAGACATATTGGACCTTGTGGTAAAACTGCTTATATAGATCCACAAATTCTTATAAATCATAACTTTCAATATATTAAGCCTTCAGATATTTATAGTTTTGGAATTCTAATGTGGGAAATTTCTAGTGGATATTCTCCATTTAAAGCTTTAAATGATACTACTATTTGTGCTGCTATTGTTAATAATAATGCTCGTGAAATTACTATATTAGATACTCCTAAGGATTATGAAAAACTATATAAAAAATGTTGGGATCAAGAACCTAAGCAAAGACCTACTATTACAGAAATATTGGTTGAATTCTCAAGGATGAGTTTTATTAATAAACCGATTAAAGGTAGATATATTAAAGTAATAATTATTGATTTTTTATAAGCTATAATTTATATTAATTTATTTACATTTAATTAAATGAAGTTAATTGCAATATGTTTGAATTGATTAATAATAAGTTAAATAATAAAATTAAAGTCATACCTTTTGATAATTTAATTGATTTGAAACCACTTGATAAAGGCGGATTTGGAAGTATTTTAAAAGCAACTTGGTTAAAAACAAATGATTATACTATATGTAAAAAATTAACTAATACAAATATATTTAAATGTGATAATGATAAATTAAGTGCATTTATTTATGAGTTAAAAATACACTTACATCTTAACCAAAGTAATCGAATTATACGTTTGTTAGGTATAAGTCAAGGTAATTAATTAATTTAAGCTTAATTTTTTAAGAGATTTTTATTTTATATTTAACTTAATTTTAGATCCAAAGTCAAGTGAATTCTATTCAATAATGGAATATGCAAATGGTGGTAATCTTCAAACTTACCTAAAAAATAATTTTGAAAAATTAACTTGGAATGATAAAAAACAATTAGCTTATCAAATTGCGGATGGGTTAAATTATTTGCATAATGAAGATGTTTTACACAGAGATCTTGTAAATATTTATTTTTATTATTTCATTTGCTAAATTTTATGTAATATTATTTATTTTTAATGATATTCTTTCATTTAGCATTCTAAAAATATAGTTATTCATAAAAATAATGCTAAAATTACAGATTTTGGTATTTCAAAAGTTGAAAACAATTCTACAATGCATATTGGACTTTTTGGCAAAGCTGCTTATATGGAACCACAAATACTTGCAGATCAAAACTTTGAATATATTAAAGCTTCAGATATTTATAGTTTTGGTATATTAATGTGGGAAATTTCTAGTGGACATTCTCCTTTTGAAGATAAATTTAATAATAATAAGGATCTTATTATTGCTATTACTTGTCATGAAACTCGTGAAATTTCTATAGCGAATACACTTGAAGATTACGAAAAATTATATAAAAAATGCTGGAAACAAGAACCAAAGCAAAGACCAATTATTAAAGAAGTATTAAAAAAATTTTATAAAATGGGCTTTGGAAAAATTATTGGTGATAATGAAACCACAAAAGGTAAATTTTCATGTTAAAATTTTTATATTTATATTATTTTGCTTATTTTTTATTTTTTTCAAATTTCTAAAACTTCAAAAAGATACAGAGAACAATAATTCTGATCCTGATTCAAAAATTGGCAATTCTATTCAGTTAGATACTTTTGAGAATTTATCTAGTAAGTTTTTCTATCTAAATTTTGATCTCATAAATTACTAATTTAAAAATCTATTCATTTATATTTAGTAACAAATCATGAAGTATATTAGATTATTATTTATTTATTATTACTTTAAATTTCTTCATTTTAAACAAGTCTATATAACTGAGACAACTTTTATTTAATAAGGTTTATTATACAAAATGTTTTTATTTTTATTTTTGTTTTGTATTCATAAATGAATTCTGCTGTAAATGTTGAATAATTTTTATTGATCAGAATTCGATATTTGTTACAAAAAAGGAAATAAGGCTTTAAACTATATTTTATTTCTTTTTATTAATCTGTCGATTGAGTAATTTGTTGTATATGATAATTAACGAATTTATTAAGAATATGAAAAAATTCACTTATTTTTACTAATGCCCTTCGGACAATAACTATGAATGAATGCGAAGTAAAGTTATACTGCTAGACAATTTAAATGCAATGCCATTCTTTCCCTTTCTCCTATTCTATTATAAATGGTATTTGACATTTACCATATCCATATCATCTTTATATAATTACAGCTATTTCTTCTATATGCCGCTTAAACGACGAATGAAAATTCGCGTTATATAAATAAAATTTGATTGAATATATTATTGTGCCATCATTATTTTATTAACGCTTCGTATAGCCTTTTATTTTCTGCGCAAGCATGTGATTAACAATTATGACAATCATGTATTGTGTAAAAGATACATCTGCGTTACGTTGATATATAAGTGCTTATTTTTGTATTTTTGTAGGATTTCTTTTTTATACAAGAAAGATAATATGATTTACTAACCAGGTTCTCATATTACCTTTTATATGGCACTACAAAAGTATGATCGTTCAAAATCATATTATCTATCTAAATAATATAAGAAACATTGAGAATAAATATATAAATATTATAGTAACATTTTTATACAAATTTTCTTCCTTCATTAAACGGAGACACTTTTCGAGAGAACAGAAGATGTATGGAGCGAAAAATATAATTGCAAGCTAATCCTGAAGACTCTATTAGATTAAAACGCTTCAGTAAATTCTGACAAAAGTGGCAATTGAAGGTACTTTTATAATCGCTAATAAAAATAAAAAATTTACATTTTATTAAAAAGTACAATAATGGTTTACCAAACGTCAGACAATTCGCTAATTTTAAATCAACTTTTATCCGATTTTTGCAATAAATAAGGGAATTATTTGTACTATCAATGTACAAGATGAGTCAGTCTATCTAAAGATTTGGGATTAATTATAAGAATAATAATTATTTATAAATTTCTTTAAAATTATTAGATTTAACAGAAAAATTTTTGTGTAATATAGAATAGACAACTCGAAGCTGAAGAAGAGACTCGCGAAAGTAACAAAATGTAATGTATTGATAATTGATGATAATTTGGTAGACAAAATTGTATTACTTCAGATTTTAATAATTATTAATAGTGTTTGACTTGAACGGAAATATTTGAGCGTGAATAAGATGAACAAAACGATGTAGAAATAAAAAAAAATATATTATGAAATGTTAATTGATTAATTAGCTTCTTATTTTAATATATATATTTTTTCATAAATCCTCCATGTAAACAATGTTATATAGCTGTATTTTTTTATTAGTTGATCAAGAATCTAGTAATGTAATAATGATATTATCTTTAAATTGTTATTGTTACAGGAATTTATTAATAATTAAATCGTTCGATCGTGTTCTATTAGTTTCGGGGCATTGTGTGCCATTTTTGTTTAAGCTTAATTTTAAGTTTTGTTAGTATTTAGTTAGCTTTTTGTAGATCAATGGCCTAATTGTCCTCTGGTCAAATTGCCTACCGGCCAATTTATCTCCTGGCCAATATGCCATCCGGCCATTATGCTTCGAGGACAAAAAGGCCTCTGAACAATTAGTCCTTGCTGGGTTTTAAGTATAAAAGAGGTGGGATTTCGCTTGAATATGGAAAATACGTTCCTTACATAATTCAATAGATATTATTAGTATAGTATTCACCCCCTTTTCCTTTCATTTGTAACGAATAACGAAAGTATATAATAAATTACGTATCTGATCGTATAGAGCGCCGACGATTGAGGCAATACCTTATTTACGTAGATTTATGATAGATTTTTTTTGTTATTAATAAATACATTTTAAATGCATTCAATAATAAACCTTCTGCTTACCTTTTCTATTGTTTATAACTATAAACGTTTCGAACTGCGTGCGACATTAAGTACATTAAGTCGCGACCTTATCCTTTTTAATTTTTTATTATATTAGCTAATGTCAAAATTAACAAAACAAAATCCGCGCTTTTTTATGAAATTTCTTAAATAGATATCATATATTCTCTTATTGTCTTTATTTTTTTAATTTTAATTTTTTTTTTTTACGGTGATACTATATAATTCTGCTCGAATTGGATTACTTAAGAAGGAATAGGCAAGGATTTTGAAGTTCAATTGCACGTTGCATTGATCAAAAGAAATTTTTTCCTGATTTGTGGCCTTTTTTGTCTTTATAAATTCCAACAAATTTGGTTATATATAAAAAATCGTTGAAACTTACTACTGTGATAGCCTATGTTTTGATTATAATCTGCGTAAAGACTAAAAATACAACTACAAATATATTTATGTCGCATAAATAAAAAATCGCTCGATCGCTGCGGCACTACGACAGATAACCAGAAGTGATTTTTTAAAAAAAGAATTATTAAAAAATAAAACCGGAAAATCTTAATTCTTAAGGTTGATTTTAATTTTCTTGTCAACATACTATTATATAAAATCACAATAAAATAAGTCTTCTAAATTCCTTCAATTAATTAGGATACATTTATTTATTGGTATTTGAATGCATTAACCAAAAAACCTAATAAAGGTTGCTGTTTATTTGATAATTATTTAAAATATATCTGAATTATAAATAAACTAATCAACGTCGTGATTTCCACCAGTCAAATTTGTTTTGAAAATATTTGGTAACGTAAATAATAAACGATAAGACTACTGGCATTTTATAATTTCAGTTGTCTCCGGCTGAAAATATCCAAAAGTCCTTAGTTGTGCATGTGATCATCGGAAATTACTGACACTCGGATTTTTTTTTTTTTACTTTTCGAATCCATTCTATGCACAGAATTATCTTTATTAATTTAGACTAAAATGTAATAAAATATTAATTTTAGTTAAAAAATTCTCAGAACCTGATTTTCTCTTAGATCATAACCCATTTCCCTCCGTAAAAAAAATTTTAGTCCTAAACAATATTGAATCGAATCAGAAAATATCGAGTAGTTTTTGGTTAATGATAACCACCCGTCATCAGGAAACAATCCTTAGGAATTAATTAATATACAAGCCTGCCATAACATCAAACTTATTAATGATCCCGATCCCGCTATATATAAAACTTCTTATAGCTCATAATAAACAAAGTACATATTCAATTGGCGCAGTAACGGAATTATGGTCATTCGGATTATGATCTTACCAGACTCGTTTTATTCTATCAAACGTGTTTATATTTATTTTATTTTAACTATATTTAGAATTATGTAATACAAATTGTAATTGATATTAAGAGATAACTCGGTAACTCGGTTGAAAGATCTTTATCTAAAGGAATTTATTTAAAATTTTGGACAAATTACGCAATACAGAAACTTGGTAGGTTATAAACCACTTTGTAGATCGTAGGAAAATTACAAACAACGAGTGTTAGACACTTTGCGAAAAATATAATTATATCAAATTAAAAAAAAACTAATGCAGAAATATTTCGTTCGGAATTTTTTTAAAAAAAATAGTAAACTTGATATTTATGGTTCAGAAATGTAAATGTAAAAGTAGATTGTTAAATTTTGAAATATTTTGTAAAATCATAGAGTCCTAACATCTATAAAATTTTAAAAAAAAATTGTTAAATAAATCTTTTTATTACTTATTTTTCGCTTTTGAATGTTATAATAAAATAATAATAGTCCAAGATATTGTCTTACCTCACTCGATTATTTCTCTATTAATAACTAAAAAAAAAAAAAAGTATATAAATTATCAAAAGTGATAAGCTTATTTCATTCCATATAAAAAAAAAGGCCTCATCATTCACTTATTTAACCAAAGTTATGGAATCATCAATTTCATTTAGGGCGTAGGTTGCAGCTAATTTTTTAGCCTCCGATTTATTTCTCGCCGTCCCTTGAGGGTAAGTCTTTCCATTAATGACAATTTCAAAAGTAAACTGAGGTTGAATATTCTTCTTTTCAACTTCTTTATTTTCAACTAAAATATATTTAGGTAAACCAAAAGTTTTTCTCTGAGACCAAGTTTGAAGTTTATTAATTGGATCTTCAAGGGGTAAAGTCATAAGAGGTACATCCTGAGGACCGATTATAGGTTTGGAAGTATCATTATTATTTTCCTGTGCATTCTTTTTTTGCAGAAGAAGTTGCTCAACTTTTGGTTCTAATAAAGGTTTCATAAATTCCATTACTTCTAGAAAATTTTGGTCTGAATCCAAAAAAACGGCACCTATATAAGCTTCAAAAGCGTCTTCTAAAGTCTTTTCATTATTTCTTGCGTTGGTAATTAAAGCACCTTTGCCTAATTTCAACTTTGTTTCTAATTTTAAACTTAACGCAAAATCTGCCAAAGTTTGTTTGCAAACCAACTTTGCTTTCATCATTGTAAGTTCTCCTTCATCTTTACATTTTTTATACAAATAACTTGATATTACAAGGGATATGACCGAATCTCCCAAGAATTCTAACTTTTCATTATGATTTCCGCTCATCGGATTTTCGTATGCGTATGATTTATGCGTTAAAGCTTCTATTTGGAGATCTTCATTTTTAAATATCCTATCCTTAACAACTGATTTTGACATTTTTTATTTTTTTTATTTTTTTTCAAAAAGAAAAAAAATTAATTACTTATGTAACTTTGAAAGGGATGAGGAAATTTTTTGACGAAAAGGAAAAAAAGATAATTTTCACTTTCAAAGTTGAGACCATTTATATACGTTGTTAATTATCGATTCTATTGCCAAACAGAGAGACAATTACTTTTTCATTTTTGGCACCCATGTCGATCATGACATTTGTCACTTTTTTTTCTTTGTTGATATATTTGGTAATTATATTGTACAGTAATCACGTATTTTTTATTCGGGTTACACATAATAAATTGCTGCATATAAAAAAAATTTTCTTTTTATCATTTACCAATAAAAAATAATAATCAAAAGTTATAAAAAAAATTGCTGCATAACAGGTTTAACTTAAAAATAAAATATTAAGAGAATTAATTCAGATGAAATTTATCTTGGTCTGTTAAATAGACAAACGACTGGATTAAAAATGCACTTTTCTTGGATAGTAGGAAATGAAAATCAAATTCTGTATGCATATGCACTTGTCAAACGATCTATCAATCATCCCGATAAAGGTGTGTGGGAAACGTCAGTGAAAAATATTACAGCCTTCATATTTATAAATGTTTAAACATCACGTTCTTATATTTCACACCCTCCCTATCTTAGGTTAAGGAATTATGTAATTTTCTATGTTTATTATAGTAATAAAACAGCCTTAACTTTCACTAACCCCACGCCACGCCTCCTCTAACCACAAGTTATATGGCATCTTTAAATAATTATTGACAAATAGGATTTCACACCCCTTAATTACATAGTAAAAAATGAAAATGTTGGGATTCGTGACTTGGGCTTTTTTGATGGGAGTGAGAGGGTAAAATATCATTTGCGTCATCATTAAATCTAACCAAATTTAACACTATACATTTAGGAATTTAAAATAATAATAATAATAATAAAATAAAAAAATTTCTAAATCGAGTAGTAACACACATTATGAATATTTATTTATCTAAAATTAAAAAGGTTGAATATACATGATTTTTATATTGTAAATAAATTGCAATTGATTTTTTATATTGTACGCGCATATTATACGATGTTGTACATTATAAAAAATATTGGTTAAAAACCTTGCGATAAATAATTACTATAAAATAGACTATTAATTTTAATTAATACAATCCAGAATTGTTGTAACAAATAAATACCGGATGAAAAATAAAAAATCTTGGTTTTTTTTCATTTGGATATAATAAATCCGATTTATTAGGCCGATGTTTCAGTTCTAGAATTCGAAAATGACGCCATAGCATGTGAAAATTTAATATGTATATGCGAACTTAATTTTATATAAATTAATTAATAATCATACTTTTGTGTCACGACACATCCTTTTTTTTTTTTTTTGACTTTAATACTTATTTTCACACGATTTTCAATCAAAGTGCTCAATATTCATCTAATCATAAAACATGAAAATTCCATTTTATTTGATGGAGGAACTCCTGTAGATGAATATGTAACTATCGAAAATTTTTTTTACAACATTTGCTATTGATACACTTAAACTGGAGTTGTGGGATTAAGATTTTGAAGTATATTTCGGGAAAACAAAATTTAGGTAATAAAGAAAAGGTGGTGAAAATGCAAATAAGAAAAAGCGTAGTAAACATTATTTGGTCCAAATAGTCGAAAAAAGCAAAAAAATGTATGAAAAATCATCCATTCAGCCTTTAATAATTAGTTCCAAATAGTGCTCCGTAAGGGTCGGGTCGGGTCGGGTTTGAAGCAAACTCGAACTCGAACCTGTTAATATTTACAGGACCCGAATTAGACTCGACTCAATTATTGTTCGACCCGATCCGATTATTGATTAACTTGTATTCGACTCGAATTTAAAGTAATATTAATTCCGAAAGTAAAAAAATTTTTTATTTATGTATATAATGAAACATTAAATTTGAAAGTTTTTTATTTTTAAAGTTCTTTGGTTGTACATCAATTCAAATTTAGATTTTTTAAATATATTATTGGCTCAAGGAATTCATGCGCAAAGTAAGTCTAAAAGATTACACAGGGTTTATTAAAATAATTTCTTTTCTATTTGGATGATTGCGCTCTAAATAACACGTTTTATGTCCAATGTCCACTAATATTTTTGAAAAAAAAATATCAACCTAAAATATACCAAATGATACTCTATTTAAAAAAGATTCGAGCAGTTAAGACATCTAACTTCTCGATGTGTTTTTGAATTTTATATTCAGGTGGAAGAAGTTTCTCTTCAAAAGCTCTTTGGCAAAAAAGTTCGCTTCGCAATTATTTTCGATTTCCAAGAGAAGCTGTATTATCGGAATTAATAAGGTCGATAGTTTCACTCAAAAAGTTGCGCATATCACATATCATTTAATAGCATCATCTGATCATTCGGGTCGTCCGTGTCGATTCGACCGGCTCGGAGCACTAGCTCCAAACACATTACTAGTTGAATTTTTAATAAAGTAAATTTACCTTTACCATGGTTTATTAATATTAATTTATACAGCTATTATACATTTTTTAACGGTAAATAAAATTTGTTACTATAAAAAATCATTTCCCAATTATTCAAAAATGTGACCCGGTGGGTTACAAGAACCAACAGAAACATCGAGTTTGTCTGCCTTATACCTGGATAAATAGAAAACTTCTTTTTCATTACCAGCATGTTTAGAAATCGTGAATTTTTTGCAAGAAGAGTATTTCAAAAATAATTGGATAAAAATTCTGGCGAAGGACAGTGCATGATTTACGCCCCTGACTAGTTATGACCGACTAAGTAATTTAATACGAGTCGTTTAATGACATTATAGGTTCCATCACATAGGTCAAACAAATAATTAATTGTCATACATTCGTATGGAAACCAAATCTAATATAATAATAATGTTTGATGGTTTTCTTAGAATTTCTAATTTCTAACATTTTGTGGCAAATTAACCGCAGTTAGCCTCATGGTAAAAAAATCAAAAGTTTATTTTTTCTTTTCATTAGATTTATAAAAGTTATAAAGGTCAAAAACATCACTCAATAAATAGCGTTGTTATTTACTGCCGTATGTCTTAAATGTATTATTTTTAACGTATATGTTCAATATTTTATACTTTAAATATATATCGTGAAAAGAATTTTTGTACGCTCTTAATAATGGTCGACTATTTTTCTTAATTAAGCATTATTAAAAAACATGAAAAATGGAAAATTCCAAGGTTCCACGGGCTCATTCTGTGAACAGGCTATACAGGCTTTTTCATAAATTTTTTTGTACAACTTTAAAAAGTTTAAATAGACCGGTTTTTCTATTTTTTTTTTTTTTTATTAAAAAGTTAATATGGAACAAAAAATTAACCATAAACCACAAAGCAAAATAAGATTAATTAAAAAATGTAATGAATGCAACGAATGGAACCGACCTCTCGATGAAAGTCATAATATTTGCCGAATTGTTATAAATCGGACTTATTATATCAACCAAGTGGTAATAGCGTTGTGGATGAATTTATCAGACATACGTATACGCAATTTTATAATAATATTGAAGCTGGGGTAATGGAGTTTGTTCCTTATGATCGATTCAAATGTAAAAAGAAAATTGGCGAAGGAGGGTTTAGTAAAGTTTATAAAGCTATCTGGAAAGGTGGTCCAATTTTAGGTTGGGATGATGAAAGGCAAAAATATATCCGGGATGCAACTCGTAAGATTGCTCTCAAAAATCTTAATGATTCTAAAAATATCACTTCAGAGAATTTAAATGAGGTAAAATTTAATAATAATTTATCCAAACATAATAATGGACCTAAATTAATATATTTCTTTAAACATTCAGCTTAAAATTATTTATGATTGTAATTTAACATTTAAAAAGCAATCTAAATATGCTTGTTCACATATAAATGCTTGTTATGGGATTACACAAGATCCCGTAACAAAAGATTTTATGATGATTATGAATTATTCCCCTTCGGATTTAAAGCAATATATGACAAAATTCAATTCTGATTGGATTAATATATTAGAAGGATTGAGAGCTATTATAATCGGAATTGAGAATATTCATGATGCAAATATCATTCATCGAGATATTCATAGTGGAAACATTCTTACAGATGGTACTGTAAGAACCACTATATGTGATTTAGGACTTTGTAAATCATCAACCGAATCCTCAAGTGAAGACATTTATGGAGTTATTCCATATATGGCTCCGGAGATTTTTCAGAGACAAACGTATACTATGGCTTCAGACATATATAGTTTTGGTGTGATTATGTGGGAGGTTGTGACTCGCAGAAGGCCTTTTTGGTATCGAAGTCATGATACTGAGCTTATTATTGATATTTGTAATGGTCTTCGTCCTCAAATCTTCGCAGATGTACCTGAAGGTTATGTTAACTTAATGCAACTGTGCTGGGATAACGAACCAAATAAAAGACCAACAGCTGTTGATATATCTGAAAAGTTAGTTCAAATGCGTAACAATGAAGTAGATCATCGAACAGAAGTTAAAATACCATCAGACATTGGACCCAACACAAATAACTCAGGAGCAATCTACTCAAGTAGACTTTTAACTGGTACGACAAATTCCGCAATGTCACTAATATGTATTGTTCAATTCGTTACTCGTTTTGCTGATTTAAAAATTCATATAAACTAAACTTTTTATTTACTGTGCATCCTGTAGGATACATTAGCAAAGAATTTGATTTTGATATAGATAGTGATTAAAAATTTATTTAATAATAATTTATTCAAATAAACCATCTTTTAAAGGAACGCGGCATTCGAATAATTACGCTACAAATTTACGATATAAATGAATTGATATCTATAAATTTAATAAAGCGTTTTATGAAATTTATTACCAAACGTATCACAAAATAAAAATATAAAAAAGAAACAAGATAAACGATATAATAATATAAAATAAACCCGATATCTTGTGTAGTAGTTGCGGTGGGAATTATCATACACATTCAATTTTATTTGTTATTTTTATTTTCTATTATTTATCTATCATATTTATCATATTTTGTTAAATTAGTATAGCTAACTTAGGATTTATATATAAATAGTCATGAAAAGTTTCAAAGTTTTGTAATAAACAAGATCTTGGTAAATATTTTAGGAACTCTATATTTAATAAAATACTATACTTTCATCCCTCTTCTTGTCTTTATATAGGTTTTGTTCTTGAAAATTGACTACACATGTAAATCGTATTAATTGTATGGTTGTTATAAATCTTTCATAGGATAAGCCTTTGGTTCGGTAAAATCCAAAAGTTATCCACCGGCAATGTTGTGACTATAACGTCAGGAAGATTGGAAACGCAATAACAAAAAACAGATGAATGAAACATGCCAACAGGTGAAGGGCTTATAAAAAATATTGTATATGATTTTCTTTAATTAATATAAAATTAATATAACCAAGTCTTGTCTAAAATAAATATAATTAATATAATTACGATGATAGCGAATTTACATATAAATAGTATTGACGTGCTCTTTTTCTATTCTTTAGGTTCCTCTTTCGGTCAGTATGGTTATCAACTAAAAAATAGTGAAACAACAGATAATCGTTATATAAATGATATTTCTATAATGAGACTCGTTAGTTTAAGAAAGAATCTCTTGGACATACGAATTTCAGAAATTGTTTTCAGTTATCTGCTAAGGCATCAGATGCAGTCGGTCTTTCAATATGATTTTGACATATCAATTTATCCCGGAGCATTCTGGATACGAATTCTAAAATCATCAAAAAGGTTTCCAATCATCCAAATATCATAGACATAAATCATCACTACCTCTGTATTCTGGAGCTGTAATATTTAATGTAGATGGTCTACAACAAAATTAGTTAAAAATTTAGTTAATAATTTTCAATAAACGATCAAGTTAGCTCATTAATCTATCATTACAATACCTTAGGTTATCTCTTCCAATCGAAGCAGCTTCTTCGAAATCAATTAAAATCCAACCATTATTTGTGAGTTATATAATGTTGTCCCAGCGAATATCCTGATGAACAATTCCATTTGCATTAAGCACATCCCATGACATCTCGGAGCTCATTTTCATCTTTATGAATTGTATTATATCCAATTGGTGCAAATATCAAATATATACATTTTACATTAAATTTCGAATGAAGTACCATATATTTTCCTCCTAAATTTGGAAAAATCCTAGTGTTAAAGTTTTCAAAGAACTTTTATAATTGGGTCCTCGATCCACAATATGAACTTTTTTAATGATTTTTGGGGAGGTGATCGTGATGGTGGAATCATTTTTACGTCGGATCACTTCATATTACTTTATCTTTGGAACTTGTAAATATTGTTTATAATTCCAAGTGTTAATAATCAGAACAAAATTAATAGTATTTTGAAGTGCCCTAATAGTTATTTAATTTATTTGTAGTTACAAGGTCTATGATGGTTTATCAATTGTTGACTGAAATTGATTTTCGTCTGAAGTTGGAATTCAGATACATTGGAATTCCAATTTCAGATACTTTTTATGCTATCTGAATTCCAACTTCAGATAACATAAAAATTAAAAGATCAATAAAAAATTAAAAAATTTTTTTTTTTACATATTTAATTTCACCTTAAATTTTAAATTCTAATAAGGTTATTTATATAAAAAAGTAAATTTTAAATTTAAACCATTTTTTGTTCAAGAATTTTATTTTAATTATTTTAAGACATATCGCAAATACAATTTTAAATTTTACATAATTTTTAAAAATTGAATCAAAAAAGAAATTCTTATATAATTTATTT